AAAAAAAAAAAAAAAAAAAAAAAAAAAAAAAAAAAAAAAAAAAAAAAAAAAAAAAAAAAAAAACACAAAATTATTTCTTTCAATATTTAAAAGCTTATTTTTATTTTAAAAAAAGAAAGTGAAATTAGGTGGATGAAAAAAAGATGGTAAAAGAAAAATTTACCGCATTGGAGGATATTCCAAAAGGTGATGAAGCTGCCCCACTTTGCCAACACGAACAGCAGTACGCCCATCTGCAAATTACCAAACAATTTTAAATTTTAATAAATATTTATTACACTTTCTTTTTACCATATATTTCTATATTTCTTACCATAATTGCCCATTTTTAACCCTCTTCAAAAATGGTAAAAGATAACAATAAATTTTACTTTTTATCTCCGTATAAAAATATTCTTAAATTTTCAAAAATGTTTTAAAATATCGTTAACATTAATTTTGGGCGGGCAAAGATGGTGAATACTATATTTTAAAAATATTCTTACACTTATAAAAATATTTTTAAAATGCCGTTTAATTTTTACAAATATTTTTAAAATACTGTTGAATTTAATAAGCTTCAATTTTTTAAAAAAAATTAAAAATATTTTTAACATTAGTAACCCGTTTCAAAATTATGCATGAATTTTCATTAATAATAAATTCAATTTTTTTAAAAAAATTTAAATATTTTTAACGTAGTAACACGTTTCAAAAATATGCATGAATTTTCATTAATAATAAGCTTCAATTTTTAAAAATATTTTTAACGTTCGTAATAAGTTTTAAAAATATGCATGAATTTTCATTAATAATAAGCTTCAATTTTTAAAAATATTTAAAAATATTTTTAACATAAGTAATAAGTTTCAAAAATATGCATGAATTTTCATTAATAATAAGCTTCAATTTTTAAAAATATTTTTAACGTTCGTAATAAGTTTTAAAAATATGCATGAATTTTCATTAATAATAAGCTTCAATTTTTAAAAATATTTAAAAATATTTTTAACATAAGTAATAAGTTTCAAAAATATGCATGAATTTTCATTAATAATAAGCTTCAATTTTTAAAAATATTTAAAAATATTTTTAACATAAGTAATAAGTTTCAAAAATATGCATGAATTTTCATTAATAATAAGCTTCAATCATCGAAAATATTTAAAAATATTTTTAACATAAGTAATAAGTTTCAAAAATATGCATGAATTTTCATTAATAATAAGCTTCAATTTTTAAAAATATTTAAAAATATTTTTAACGTTGGTAACACGTTTCAAAAATATGCATGAATTTTCATTAATAATAAGCTTCAATTTTCAAAAAAATTTAAAAATATTTTTAACGTTAGCAACACATTTCAATAATATGCATGAATTTTCATTAATAATAAGCTTCAATTTTGAAAAAAAAAAATTAAAAATCTTTTTAACGTTAGTCATACGTTTTAAAAATATGTCTGAATTTTCATTAATAATAAACTTCAATTTTTAAAAAAAATTAAAATATTTTTAAAGTTAGTAACACATTTCAAAAATATGTATGAATTTTCATGGATAGCTTCAATTTTTAAAAATATTTTTAACGTTAGTAACCCGTTTCAAAATTATGCGTGAATTTTCAAAAATAACATTAAAAAGTTCGAAAATAATCTATATAGTGTAGATAGACGGTTTTTGTTCATAGTGTTAATATTATTTATAAAATTTTATGTATATTTTTTAAAAAACTTTTTAAAAAATAAAAAAAGGAAAGATATTAATGAAATATTTTAAATACTATTAAAATTTTAAAATATTTTTTAAATAAAATAATTTTAGTTGGAAAAAACGTGTAATTGAGTAAAGAAAATAGAAAATTTAAGAGTATATATATTACCTTCAAAGTTGCAGAAGGATCTCCATGGAACAGAGGCTTGAGATTTTGCAGCAATTCATTCACGAAAGGAACAAACCCTCTAACCAATCGAATCACTTCTTCTTCAACCACACAATGTTCATCATCACTATCGATTCCCTTTCCATTTCCCCTGTAATTTTCCCGGGAAAATTAAATGCAAAAACAGAGGTTTGTTAAACGAATACGACTCTCCACCATGGTATGATATTGTCCACTTTGAACATAACTTCTCATGGCTTTGATTTGGGCTTTCCCAAAAAGCCTCGTACCAATGGAGAGAGTATTCTATGTTTATAAACTCATGATCATTCCCTAAAACAAGCTTAAGCTAAACAAAACAGAACGAAATTGATCGAGCACCTGCTAAAAATGGAGCTATGGACGAAAATGGCAGCCAGATAAACAAGACCCATATGCGAAATCATACTGATAAAGCTGCAAATTCGAAAAACAAAACAAAGCTCAACAACCCTTCTTCAATGGCGGATTTGGGGTTTTTTTTTGTTTTTACCTGATGTTCATGTTCTTGATGAAATAAGAGAGGGCTATAACCAAATTCCCAGCTCCAAATGCCATGGCGGATCTTGAAAACTCCCTCCACATTATCAAATCCACTGCAAGAAATCAAACAGTTAAGGAAATTAAATTTTGAGATTCTGTAATGAAAATGGGAGGCTCTGTTCTCACTTAGTCTCTGTAATTTCTGTTTGTTTCCCGGGAAAATTTCTTGGGCTGGAAAATTGATTTCCTTAACGTCGAAGCTTTCGTTCTTAATCTCTTCGAATGCATCGAAGAAATCTTGAGGTGGAGGAGATGAAACCGTCTTATCCGGGGAGATTTTTCTGATTCCGTTTGTGTTCGTCGGCGGTTTGGTAATCCCGACGGCCGATTTTCGAGACTGATCGATTTTCTTCCTCGTTGAGTTTCTCTCTGTTATTCGTACCGGTTTGTTTGGACTGTTGTTGGATCTCAATCTCCGAGACGGAATCGGGGTTTTCCGATTCTGTTCATCGCCGCTACTCGGTGATTCTGGTTTTTCCTCGGCGATTTGAATCGAGTTAAAACCCTCATCGGATTTCCACGTCTTCCTCCTTGCACTCCCGACGGTAGCGGCCGGAACCCTACATTCGACGGTTTCATCGTCTCCATTGAAAACCCTAATCCCACCACGGACTTCATCGAATCGGATTCTGCTTTCCCAGACAGACCCCGCCACCACGTTCCCCCTTGCCACCGCCGCTCTCCGCCGGCTCAAATCCATCGCCGCCGCCTACGAACGCACAAAAAAACCCTCTGTAAACCAATCTCAAGGTGTAAAAATGGCGGTCAGAGGAAATCTGAACTACTTTGAAACAGAAGAACAGGGAATTCTCTGTTGGTGAATGCCAAATGGCGATGAAAAAGAAGGGACTGTTTATATTAAAATTTTATAGGATGAATCGTTAAGACACTAGTTTATTAGGGTTTGAAATTCGGATTCATTATCTATAGTTCCGATATTTTCCACGACATCGTGGCTTCATTTACTTTTAACTCCTAAACGTTAATATAATTCCACAAACCAACACGAGTCCTCAAAAAGTCTGATCAACCCGACCCAATTCGTATTTTCCACGACATTGTCACCCCATTTACTTTTAACTTCTAAACGTTAATATCATTTCACGAACCAGCACGAGTCTTTGAAAAGTCTGATCAACCCGACCCAATTCCTATTTTCCACGACATTGTTACTTCATTTACTTTTAACTTCTAAACGTTAATATCATTCCATGAACTAGCACCCGAAAAGTCTAATCAACCCGACGTAATTCATAGGTTGAACTTATATTAAATTAAGTCGGATTCAAATGGTTAGGTTAGTTCATACGTTTCTTACCATTAATTAGATTAATTGTTAATTTTAAAAATATATATCTCTATTTACTATATAATTATATATATATATATTAATAATAAATTTTAATTATTTCCGATCATAATTAAATAGTTAAAAAGAAATATATATATATATATATATATATATATATATATATATATATACGGATTAACGTTTCAATTCAAATAATAACAATTGAATTGAGTTGGGTTTATTATTTAATAAAAAAATTATTCAGGTCGAAAAAAATTGACAACTCGGAACAGATAGATTGAGTCTAAGAAATGTCTTAACCTGACTTAACCCAACTCACAAACACCGAGTACAATTCTGGTCCTAATAATTCATGATTTGTTACCGTACTCTTAACTCGTTCTAAAAAAATTAAATTTTGTGTAATAAGTTTTTGATATTGAACCACGGGTGTGAGAAAAAATCCAAATATTTATCTATCCATCGATCAAGTTGATAAGTTACGACTCGAAAACCGAAAAAGCCCTAATAACTCATGATTTGTTACCGTACTCCTAACTCGTTCTAAAGAATTAAATCTTGTGTATAAAGTTTTTGATATACAACAACCGTCGTGAGCGAAAATCTAAATATTTATCTATTCATCGGATAAGCTACGACTCGAGAACCGAAAAAGGACTGAAGTTGCAGTGTTGGAAGTTGGTGTCCGTTGAACGTGTAGCGGCGGAAAAGGCAGGGACAGGCCGACAGAGGGCGGTGGAATGGCAGTAATAGGCCGTGCTCAACGGTCACCCGGTTGAATTCCACCGACATATAAAAATAAAAGTAATTAGGGAAATATAATTAATAATTAAACGTGCGAGAGAATAATTAAGGCACTTTTTATTTAATTTACTTTTCGATATTTGTGTTTTTATTAATAAATTTCATATTCAATTAATTTACTAAAAAAAATCCCATCTTCATCCTTTAAAATTATAATTTTTAATTAATTTTTTTTTACTTTTTTTTGTATGATCGAGCATAATTCAACAGTAATTAATTATATATATATATTAACGAATAAAAGAATTATTTTATTTTATAAAAATGTCGATTTTGCCCTTGTATTATTATTTTATAAAAAATGTATATTTTGGGATGATAAAAATTAAAAACTAATATTTACAAAAATATATATATATTAATGATGGAAAAAGATTTATTAAATTAATAATTAAACGTGCACATAATAAAGGAAGATGTGGAATTGACCACTTTATATTGCATTGGAAAAACAAAAGACCTACAATTTAATTACTTTACTTTTTTTTAGTTATATTTTAAAATTATATATATATTAATTAATGCAAAATGTGGCAACCATTATAGATGTGGACCTCATGTCATGTTGTTGGTATTATTATTATTAAATAGAATAATTGTTGGAAGTTTTTTCTAAAATTAAGAATAGGGTTTTTTTTCGATTTGAGTTGGGTTGAATTTGTGGAAAAAACGAAAAATTTGGGTTGGTTCGGGGGTTGACATTTACCCGATCAACCCAAAAATAGGACTGTAATCCAATGGATCCCTACTTTTAAAATTATTGTAAAGATTAAGAATATTTGACGTTTGTAACTGATGTTAACGATGCATTATGACTTGTGGAATGTTTGATGTTTGAGTTTTATGAGATTTTAATAATTAATGTAACGTGTACGGTAGATAAATATGATTGATTTAAAATAATTATATATTAAAAGAACCATTCGAATAGAGTTTATAACCCAACCTAAAAATAAAGAGTTGGGTTGAGTTGTGAATTTTATTTGGGTTGCTCGATTCATCAATCTAGCTAACTTGAATTCAGATTCAACCTAACCAAACCCAAGAATAAAAAGTTGAGTTGAGTTGTGAGTTCTCTTCGAGCTGTTCAGGTCACCAACCTAGCTAACACAAAATTCAAGTTGATTCAAAAGATTTTTGTAACCCACCTCGCCCTATGTGCACCCTTGGTTTGAATGTCATCGACACAAAGCAAGCACATGAATCAAGCAAGTAAGCAACGAGCGGCGGGCCTTGGTCTAATGCCTTCCATTTGAGCTCTCTGTTCCTCATTGAGTTAAGTTTCACTTGAATGGCTAGTGTTTGGTTCTTGGGGTTTGACCATATCCTCCATAGTTTCACCATTGGTAGGGGAATCACTTGGTCGGCTCCTACAATCGTGTAACCAAAACTGATAACTAAATGTTGCAGATCGTTAATGTGTCAGGGAAGTCGTGTTATGTATCAACAAGCTCGAGTTAGAGAGAACGAGAATGGGTGTGTTAGCTCGAGTTAGAGAGAATGAGAACAGGTGTGTTCGTCTTGAAGTTTCTTATCAAGTGGAAAGCTTGTGTAACAACCCAAGTTTACTAGGAGACATTGTCTTTTCTGACCCATTACATAATGTCGTTAGGCTCACGATTTTAAAACGTGTCTACTAGGAAGAAATTTTCATATCCTTATAAGGAATGTTTCGTTCCTCTCTTCAACCCATGTGGGATCTCACAATCCACCCCCTTGGAAGCTCGTCGTTAACCTCACGATACCCTTATAAGGAATGCTTCGTTCCTCTCTCCCACCTATGTGGGATCTCACAATCCACCCCCTTGGAAGCTCACTGTCCTCGCTGGCACAACACCCCGTGCCTAGCTCTGTTACCATTTGTAACAACCCAAGCCCACTGCTAGAAGATATTATCCATTTTGGCTCATTACGTATCGCAATCAGCTTCACGATTTTAAAACGCATTGACTAAGGAGAGGTTTCCATACCCTTATAAGATATGTTTTGTTCTCCTCTACAACAGATGTGGGATCTCAAAATCCACCCCTCTTAGAGACCTAACATCCTCGCTTATAATTAAACGACGAAATTCTAAAGAATGAAATTTTTTATTAGCTCGGATGTAACCTCTCACGATCCCGCGTCGAAGAGTAATACTATAACTTTTAAAATAATTGATGTATTTTTAAAAGTAAAAGAAAAAAACAAATGTTATGTTTTCGTAGGTAGCTAAGAAGAGGAGCCGGTTGGTTCGAGTAAGAGGGCAGCAAAGGGCGAGTGAGAGAGCGACTTAATCTCATCTTCCACTCGCCCGTCTCATTGGTTTCATCGACGTCCCACCCTCTTCCACCCGCCCCCTGCAACTCCCTCCTCTTTCCTTCATCCCCCCATTGACGGACCCTCCTAAGCTCTCTCTCTTGAAACCCAATGGCTTCCTCGGTCACTTCAGCTTCAGCAGTGGCAAACCCCACCTGCCCATCTCTTGCTCGCCGCTGTATCAACCACAAGAGCTCTCATTGCGCCTTGTCTTTTCCACTCCCCCACAACCCCAAACTCAGAATCTTCACCAGGGTATGTGCTAATTTCTGCCAATTCTAGTCGTTTTTTGTGTTGGGTTTCGATTTATGACTGTCCTGGTCTGTGAATTTGTGGGTTTCTTTTGAATTCGTTGGTGGGTTAATGTATACTTGCTGCTAATTGGGTTTGTGACTGGAAGACTGTTCTTGGAGGATTCTTTTGGAAAGGGATTTAAAAGAATGAAAGAGAATCGTAGATTAAATGCATATGATTTGAGGGGTAAAATTACTGGAAATGTGTACAAAACCAAATCCTACAACTTCTGCAATGGTTTGTAGTTTGAGAACAGAAGCAAGGATACGATCAGAAGCTCCCAAAGCATTAAAAGGTGTGGAAATACTTATGGATAGAAAGGGGAAGTGGGACCTTTTGAGTAGCCATTAAAAAGACTATAATTAGTGATAAGTTAGTAAGTAGTTCTGAGTATTTTGTACTTTCTTTCCCTGAATTTCCACAGTTAAGTAGAGTTGATTTATCTCTATCTATTGTCTATATGGGTTCAAATCTCCACGTCTGTTGTGGGTTTTAGGTTGTGAGATTCCACATTGGTTGGAGAGGGGAGCGAAACATTTCTTATAAGAGTGTGGAAACCTCTCCCTAGGAGATGCGATTTAAAATCGTGAGGCTGACGGCGGTACATAAGGGCCAAAGTGGATAATATCTGCTAATGGTGGACTTGGGCTGTTACAAATGGTATCAGAGACAAACAACGAGCAGTGTGCCAGCGATGACGCTGGGTCCCCAAGGGGGTGGATTGTAAGATCTCACATAAGTTGGAGAGGGGAACGAAACATTCTTTATAAAGGGTGTGAAAACCTCTCCCTAGCAAATGTGTTTTAAAACCGTGAGGCTGACGACGATACGTAACGAGCCAAAGTGGACAATATCTGCTAGTGGTGAGCTTAGGCTGTTGCAGATGGTATTAGAGCTAGACACCGGGCCCTGTGCTAGCGAGGACGCTGGGCCTCCGTGTGTGTGGGGGGGGGGGG